AGGGGACGACAGAGGATGAGATAGCTGGATGGCATCACCGACTCGATGGGCATGAGTTTGAGTAAATTCCGGGAGTTTGTGATGGACAAGGAGGCCTGGCATGCTGCGATTCATGGGGTCACAAACAGTCAGACACGACTGAGCGACTGAACTGAACTGAACCCCTTTTCCCCCTTAAACAACACAGGAAACACTCTCTTCTCTTTTCAAATCTTAGATAACAGCAGGAAAGACCCCTGAAATAGAATTTTCTGTTTTGTGATTCCTAAAATACTAGAACACATCATTGCAGGAATATTACAGCCTGTTTTCTGAGTGTCAGAGTAGATTTATGCTGCAGTCTTACAACATATAAATCTTAAAGCACCTGTCACTTTTCTTTTGGCTTAAAATGAATTTGTTTATGGCATGCCTGATTTCATTATTGACCCACAATTTATTTGGAAGAAATAAATTTACAAACACAGAAATGTTTACCACATATTTTTGTTACAAGTTTCTAACAATGTACTGTGGTCAGATAACAAGATCTCATATAAAAATCAGTATTTGAAAAGTGTAGTAACTTGAATTGTTGTCTAGTATATGGTCAGTTTTTTGTAAATGTTAACATGAGAGTGGGGAGAGTGTGGGTGCTATAATCATCAGGTGGGAGAGGGTCCTATATATATCTATTAAATCTAGCTTATTAAGTATATTCAGATTTTCTGTTACTAATTTTTTTCCAATGCTTTCCTATAATAACTGAAATCCTGCATTATGAGAATGTATCTGACAATTTCTCCCTGCGGTGCTTGGTGGATTTATTTATTTTATTTTATTTTTTGGTTTTGGTTTGTTTTGCGGCCTGTAGACTCTCTAGACACATGGGATCTTAATTCCTCAACCCAGGGATCAAACCAAGTCCTCTACATTGCAAGGCAGATTCTTAACCACTGGAGTATCTGGGAAGTCCTGCACTTGATATATTTTTATTCTACTTTATTAGATGCATGCAGATTTAGAATTTTCATTTCTTCCTGGTGGATTGGACTGTTTTCATTATCTAGGGGCATTCTTTATTCCATTAACGCTTTTTTCCCCCCTTAAAATCCATTTTGTCTCATGAAACATATATACTAACACAGATTTCTTTTGGTTTTGATTTGCCAGGCATATCTTTTATTTTTAGATTTCTTACTCTCAACTTTTCAATGCCCTATATTTTAGGTGTGTTTCATAAATTATACCTTGATGGATTTTGTTTTTTAGACAGTGAGTTTATTCATCAACATTTGCTGGAGGATGTTTAGATCACAAATAAAATAGCCCTTCCAGGAATGGTAGCTGTAACCGGGTACACAACAAGAACCTATTGTACCACCATTTTCAGAAAGGGCCTGAAAGTCACACATCCCATGTAGGGGTGTCACATGTTGCCCCAGCGTGGGAAGTGGTCGTCTGTCTCTGTCCACCAGATTCAGAGATAGACATTGGAAATACTAGACATGGAGAGAAGTGGTACAAAACCCATGTTTCATAAAAGTTCCTGGTACTTGTTAGCACCAATGACCATGAAGACACTGGTATTAAAGGGAGAGCTCATGGCACTCTTCTACGGTGCCTCATACATATTTAATGTGCAGGAATTTCTTATGTTCTGTAAAATCATTTTTCAAGGTTTCCTTAAACTGTGTCTAAAGAGTAATCTGTGTTTCTTAATGCTTTCTGTTAAACTAGGTTTTCTCTCTACAAAAATACTTTTTCTTAAATCCCACTGTGCCACCAGTCTTTTTATGTCATTTTCCCTCCCCAAATTCAGTTAGGAAAGATAAAAGTATTTAAAATAATGTCTCAACTGGCGGCAGAACAACAAAATTACTTGAAGCTCCCAGTTGAACTGAAGTAGGATGACTGTGTAATTCACCATTGGGGAAGCAACAATAATGTACATGGGAGTAAAATAGTTGGTTATCAGGTTCCTGGTAGGCAACAGGTACTCTGCTTAAATGTGTGTGTGTGTGTGTTTGTGTTGCTCAGTCGTTCAATCATGTCCAACTCTTTGTGTAGCCTGCCAGGCACCTCTGTCCATGAGATTTTTCCAGGCAAGAATAGTGGAGTGGGTTGCCATTTCCTACTCCAGGGGATCTTCCCAACTCAGGGATCAAACCTGCCATCAACTGTTTCCTAAATTGGCAGGCAGAGTCTTCACCACTGGGCCACCTGTGTGAGTGTAAATACCACTTAAATATGAAAAGCTCAAGGCTCAGAGAGATTAAGGACCTGGCACGAGGTCATGCAGCCTGCAAAAGGGAGAGCCAGGATCCAACTCTGATCTCTCTGAATCTGAAGTCTGTATCCTAGTGATGAAAAGAATGAGTACTGGAGTGAAACTACTGGGACTCACATTCCAGCTCCACCACTTAAAAGTTAGGTGCTGGTGGGCAGGTTACATAATACCTTCTCCCTATATATATATATATATATATTTACATTCAGTGTCTTAGTTTCTTCTTCTGTAAAATGGGAATAACAATAATGTCTATCTACACTGTTGTTATGAAGATTTAAAGGGATGATCTGAGATGATGCTCAGAATGAGCCTGGCACACAGAGAAAGTGCAAGAACTGTTAGTGTGGTTTCAGGAGACCTTTGGGGCTTCTTTATCATCAGCGGTTAATATTCATAATCACATTCTAAGGTTTCTTTAATGTTGGGTTCATGTGGTTCTCACCCACTTCTTTACGCATCCTCCACACCTACCAGGCACCTCACTGTCTCCCGCTGCTCCCACACGTGTCCTCCAGCTGTTACAGCTCAAGTGAGATGGTGACGCCTCCTCTTCCACAAGGTATCCCTGATTTTCCCAACCATGAACTTTCACAAGACACTATTTAATGGCACTGAGTGACTGTCTAGGTCATTCCTTCATTCCCCAAGTCTTTCCTGAGCACCTACTGAATGCCTGGTCCTGTTCTAGGTATTGAGTCCCTCCTTTATGGAATTTGTATGTTAATTAGGGAAGTTGGGAGAGGCCAACAGCAAACAGATACACGCAAAAAGATGGAAGAAAAATACCAAAATAATATGTGCTGTGCAAATAGTTCAGGTGGTGTGATCCTGTGAAACAACTGGATGGATCTCTTAGACTGAGTGGTGAAGGATAGTTTCTCCAAGAAGGTGATATTTAAGCTGAGATCTGAATGGCAAGAAGGAAGCAGCAATGTAAAGATCAAAGGGAGAAGCATTTTAGGGAAGAGGGTACAGCTTGTGCACAGGCCCAGAGGTGGGAATAAGCTTGGGTTGTATTTAAGGAACAGAAAGGAGGTAGGTGTGACTGGAACCTAATGGCTAAGGCAGACTGGACAAGACAGAGCAGGTTGGTGGAGGAAGGCAGGAGACAGATTATGCACAGCCTGATAAATGAGAGTGGAGAAGGAACCAGACCCTACTGTTATAGGAGTCTGAGACAGTGAAGTGATAGGATCTGACTGTGGTTTGGTACATATCAGCAAGGAGGGTGTGAATTTCTGGGAGTGGTTGAGGTGACTACAGATGGGAAGTATCTTGGGTTTGGTTCTGTTAATCTCTTAGCAAAGGTGGGAAACCTACATAAGCTGGAGGATGTGGGGCCCTAGGGCTGCCAATCTCTCCAGCACTTGAAGTTCCAAGACCTGTGTTTGAGTTCAAGTTCCATCAACCACTAGCTGTATGAGTCTGTGAAAGCCAGTACACTATTGTCATCTGTAAAGTGGAGATGAACATTCAACGCGTCGCCTAGTTTACAAGGGTCATTTGAGAGAATAAATGTAAAAGCATTTTGTAAGCTCTGACTTAACATAAAAATGTAAGTTAAAATTTAAGGTTCATATATCTTGCATTGTAATTACAAGCAACTAGATCAGGATCAGTTACTTCTTTTTATCTGCCATAATACCTAACTCAGGTCTATGTGTTCTAGGGATTACAAGGTTGTACAATACTGTACAATAAAAGCTTAAAAAAATAAATGAAAGCATTTGTGATTAATGCCTTCCGTTATTGTTAGCATTACTATCATTATTGTCTAGCAGTAATGCATTTAAAATTCAGGGGGGAAAAAAACTCTGATATTTCTTTTCACCAAATTCATTAATGAAGAGTAAAGAAACATTTCTTCACAGTTGAAATTATAAAAATATTTATACTTGCCCCTTAGTATCCTTGGGCTCTGCATCTGTGTCTTCAACCAACTGGGGATCAAAAATATTTGAAAAAGAAATTCTAGAAAGTTCCAAAAAGCAAAACTTGAATTCGTTGCAAGCCAGCAACAATTTACATATCATTTACACTGCATTTACAAGTATTTACATAGCATTTACATTGTATTATGTATTGTAAGTAATCTAGAGATGATATGTACATAGGTTATATGCAAATACTCTGCCATTTTATAAAAGGGACTTGAGCATCCATGGTTTTGGTATTTGCAGGGGGTCCTGAACAAATGCTCTGCCAAAGAGACGACTGTATAATCATCAACCTAATTCCTTGCACAACGCTTTTCATCAAAAAAAAAAAAAAATTACATATTAATTTATTTGGCTGCTCTGGGTCTTAGTTGCATCATGCGGGATCTAGTTGCCTCACCATGGATCAACCAGGCCTCCTTCATTGAGAGTGCAGAGTGTGGGTTCTAGTTCCCTGTGGAAGGATCAAACCTGAGTCCCCTGCCTCGTGAGCACAGAGTCTCAGCCACTGGACCACCGGGAAAGTTGCTAATTAATGATTTTAAAAAGCATGATATCCAAAAAAACACAAACATGGTATCCACAGAGGACTGGTTCCAGGAAATGCGCCTGCCCTCTGCAGATACCAAAATCCACGGGTGCTCAAGTCCCTTGTATAAAATGGCAGTGCAGTCACCCTTGGTATCCACAGGTTCCGCACCCCTAGATTCAACCACCTGTGGACACACAGGGCTGACTGTACAGTTTCCCAGTGTGTAACTTTTCTTCCTCTTTCCTGACTTGCCCGGCAGATCCGCTGTGCAGAAGCTGGGAGAGGAGGTGTTTGAGGAGGTCTACAGTTACCTCAAGAGAGCAAGGCAGCAGGGAGCCAGCGAGGCAGAGGTCTGGGCAGCTCTGGAAAGAGTGGTGCCTCGAGTCAGCGACTGTTTTGAGGTTGACCAACTACTCTACTTTGAGGAGCAGTTGCTGATCGCCAGGGCAGAAGGGGTCACTCTTCCCCAGAACCATCATGAAGCAGCTGTCAGAAACAAGCGGGTCCCAGTGGACAAGGCGCCTGTGAAAATCCATCGGCACTGTCGCTGACCTCTGTTCTGGGACGTGGGTGCAGAGCAGCTGTCTCTACCTTCAATCCCTTGTCAGTCTCCTTCAGAGCGTAGTAAACCTGGGCCCTAGTGGGTTAGGTCTATCCTGTGAGACAGGCACATGGTCAGGTTGTCTTCCTGAAGAGTAGTCCTGCTCTGGTGCCTTTGGGGCTCCAGCAGGGTTGGCTCACCCTGGCCTTGGCCTGGGAGAGGCCACGTGCTCTTCACATTTCCACTCTGCCGACTGCACTGAGTCTCCAGGTACTGTGGGCTGCCTTCTCCTGAGGGGGTTGGTCCCCAGCCTCTGACAGGCTGAGCTGCTTTTCAGGGGCCAGGTGTACCTGTCTCAGGTTACCTGCTTTTGGCCCACTTTACGTTTGAATGCCTAACAAGCAAAAAGTGCATATGTGTAAGGACAGAGTGATGTGATGTATTTCTGTGATGTATTCCCCAAACTCATCCAAGGAGTATTAAAGACTTTTATTCATGGCTGTAAAATAAGTCACCTGTTTTTCTTTTGTCCTATCCAGAAGTGTCTCGTTGAACGTAACACATCCATCTAAGGATAATTACTAGTTAAGAGGAGCTAAGACTTTGCTTGTTGCCTGTTATTGTCCAGTGCTGTGCTCATTCCTGTAAGAATCTTACTTCATCAAATCTCTTCACCAGAGAGAGAGAGAGTGAGGAGTCGTGGTCACGTGGGTTGGAGTCCCAAATTGGATTTTGGCCAGGTTCAAGTCCCTGGTACTCTGTCTGGTGTCAATTTTATTTTCAGTCCAGTCACAAGAACTCAAGAGGGGCAGAGGGGAAATTTCCTCCTCCCTGACACTTGGGTAGTTTTTGGGTCAGAAGAGGAAATAGGTAGATTTTCAACTGTTTTGCAAGTAAAACATGTCCAGGGAACATCACCCTGCATTCAAGAACATACTGGAGAGGGGAAAAAGACTGCCTTTACCCTCTTACCAGCTGGAGCGGTGAGCGGAGGCTGCAGGACGCTGGAGCAGCTGACAGGAGATACCCCACGTCCAAGGTCAGGAGCAATGGCTGTGCTTTGCTGGAGCAGGAGTGAAGACATACCCCACGTCCAAGGTAAGAGAAACCCCAGTAAGACAGTAGGCGCTGAGAGAGGGCATCAGAGGGCAGACAGACTGAAACCACAATCACAGAAAACTAGCCAATCTGATCACATGGACCACAGCCTTGTCTAACTCAATTAAACTAAGCCATCCTCTGTAGGGCCACCCAAGACAAGACAGGCCATGGTGGAGAGTTCTGACAAAATGTGGTCCACTGGAGAAGGGAATGGCAAACCACTTCAGTATTCTTGCCTTGAGAACCCCATGAACAGTATGATGGGAAACAGTGGAAACAGTATCTGACTATTTTTGGGAGCTCTAAAATCACTGCAGATGGTGACTGCAGCCATGAAATGAAAAGACATTTACTCCTTGGAAGGAAAGTTATGACCAACCTAGACAGCATATTAAAAAGCAGAGACATTACTTTGCCAACAAAGGTCTATCTAGTCAAGGTTATGGTTTTTCCAGTGGTCATGTATGGATGTGAGAGTAGGACCACAAAGAAAGCTGAGCACCGAAGAATTAATGCTTTTGAACTGTGGTGTTGGAGAAGACTCTTGAGAGTCCCGTGGACTGCAAGGAGATCCAACCAGTCCATTCTAAGGGAGATCAGCCCTGAGTGTTCATTGGAAGGACTGATGTTGAAACTGAAACTCCAATACTTTGGCCACCTGATGCGAAGAGCTGACTCATTTGAAAAGACCCTAATGCTGGGAAAGATTGAGGGTGGGGGGAGAAGGGGATGACAGAGGATGAGATGGTTGGATGGCATCACGGACTCAATGGACATGAGTTTGGGTAAACTCCAGGAGTTGGTGATGGACAGGGAGGCCTGGCGTGCTGTAGTCCATGGGGTCACAAAGAGTTGGACAGGACTGAGCGGCTGAACTGAACTTACCCTCTTAGGTTCTGTAGCTGGAGTCTTCAAAGTAAACTGACCACACGCAGCAGAAGAAAAAGGATACACATTTTATTTGATTTAATGTTTTTACATGGCATATGTGTGTGTGTTTGGGGGGGGGGGGGTTGCTTTTTAGAAAGAAGTGAAACTGCCAAAGAAACAGGCCTGAAAAGTTAAACACTATTTTGACGAAAGAGCAGGGATTAATATGTGGAGATGTGACAAAACAGAGGGAAAAGATATTTGAGCTCCAAGGGGGGTGAATTCTGGGGCCATGACAAGAAGACATATGGAACTGGTGGCAGATATGGGGTGAGTTAGGAGTCTGCATAGATCCATCTCGGCATCAGTGCCCCATCTCCAGTGATAAAAATGTTATTTCCCCAGTCCAGGGAGGGTGCTTTTTTCATGGGAAATGATGCTTTTAACAGAGCTCTTCCTGCATCTGCTGTTTCTTCATTACTTTCAGCTCAAAATAATTCTTATGCCAAAGTGGCATATGTGGAGGTGGCCTATTCTTGTCCCCTACAATGTCTAGGAAGACAGGTGCAGAAGGAAAACATGTTATCCCCCAGGATTTATGCTGTGCACTGTATCAGCCATCACAGAAAGGAAAGCTGGGAAGAAATACCATCTTGGATCAGAGCTCCATGTCTTATAAAAGAAGCTCACTTTGTTTACTTTCCAGCTGGTTTACTGGGAACGGCAGCACAGACTTAAAATGACCAGAAAGTTCCTTTTGGATTTTATCATTGGGAAAATGCTTTGTCCCTTAGCCATACTCAGTGTGGGCATTAATCACTGACCAGATTGCAAGATGGTGAGTGGAAATTGGCTGAGCAATTGGAGAGCCAGGAAGCTGCTTGTTATGAATCAGTCACAGAAATGAAGGAATAAAGAAGCCCTGCTAGTGCGTGGCTTTGTAAAATACATATATATTTCAGAAATGCCAGCTGACCTCTCTGCTTCCTCTTTATGCAGGGGAAATGCCACCAGCTATTCTGGGTGATGTAGAAATAAGGTGCACAAAGGAGAGTGATGGGAATTAATTATTTAATGTATTTGGGGCTGGGGCCAAAGTGAAAGCTCTCAATCCATTATACGGGCTCAGGATAAAGAAGGCAGGCAAATCAGACAGCAGCTCAAGGAGGGAAGATACTCCACTCTTCTTTCAAGATGGTGGGGCAACTCATTTGCCTTAACTACTGTGTCAGAGGGAAGGGGGCCAGGCCACCAACATGATAAAGGAGGAAAAATGAAAAATGGAAGAGAAGAAGAAAGGAGTGAGAGAGAAGCAGAGAGAGGGGGGGAGGGGAGAGGGACAGGAGTGACCGCGCAGCAAAGAGTATTTTAAAATGATCTTCCTGGGTCTTCCCTGGCAGTCTAGTGGTTAAGAATCTGCCTTCCAATACAGGGGGTGCAAGTTCAATCCCTGGTTGGGGAGCTAAGATCTCACATGCCTTGTGGCAAAAAACCCCTAAAATATGAAACAGAAACAGTACTGCAACAAATTCAATAGACTTTAAAAATGGTTCACATAAAAAAATAGTGATCTTTGTTTGCATAAGGAAAACAATTGAACTTTCTCCCAGATGATTTCCCTCATAGCTCAGTTGGTAAAGAATCTGCCTGCAATGCAGGAGACCTGGGTTTGATTCATGGGTTGGAAAGATCCCCTGGAGAAGGAAATAACAACCCACTTCAGTATTCTTGGCTGAAGAATCCCAGGGACAGAGGAGCCTGGCAGGCTACAGTCCATTGGCTCACAAAGAGTTGGACATAACTTAGCAACTAAACCACCAACCACCACCCAGATGACTGGGACTCTGGACCCACTCTCACCATGTACTGTGAGATCAAGCACAAGTCATTTCCTTGCAAGCTCAGCTTCCTGCCTTTGCCTGAAGAGTGCCATGAAAAATAAGCAAGATAATGTCGCATGTTGAATCATGGGGAATTGCTCATATGCACATGCTTTAAATGCTGTTAAGATGCTCTTGACTTTGGAGGAGGAATTATTAATTTTATTATCAGGCTGCCTGATATCCCATCATTGGAGATTCATCCCTGAAGGCCTCCTTAGGTGGTTAAGATTCTAGAACTGACATCCAAACATACCCCAAAAGTCAACCCTTTAAGCCATTTTCAGTCAGCTCTTTGATTAGGAATTTGCTTACAGTCAGTTGAGAGCTGAGAGGCTGGGAAGAAAGCAGCTCTGGGAAGGCCTTCGAGTGGTGCCAAGGACCAGCTCCATGTCCTGCCTAGGCCTTAACACACTTCACATGCAGGAACCCACAACATGAGCTGCATCCCCAGTTTCCTCAGAACACTCAGCTCTCCCCCAACTTCAGAAGGAAATTCAGAAATGTAGTCCAACAAATATATCTTATGAAATAATATATCCGTAAATACTCATCAGGAGGGCTGTGCTGCGCTTAGTTGCTCGGTGGTGTCCCAACTCTTTGTAATCCCATGGACTGCAGCCCACCAGGCTCCTCTGTCCACGGGGATACTCCCGGAGCCATTAAGATCTAGGCAGAAAACAAAGTTTAATGCTAATAGAGTATTTGCAAAGCAGATTTGTCAGTTTAGTTGGGAAACAATCATTCAGCAACTAGAATTTTTTCCTCCCAAAATATTACGCTTTTTCTTGCTCTTAAAGATTGAATTCTTGGCTCCAGTTCAGCCCTCCCTGGACCCTTGACTGCTCTTTCACTTCTTCCCACTGTCATCGGAGGCGGGTATTTTCCTATCCCCAGACTCTGAGTTTGGCCACAGAACTGTTCTGGCTGTGTTATCACTCAGTTGCAGGAAACTTACAGGGACAGGTGGTTAAAGGGCATGATGTTTCAGTTATATGCAGTGAATAAGTTCTAGAGATTTTATGTACATAAGGACTATAGTTAACAAAACTGTATTATTGTAGACTTACAATTTGCCAAGAAATAAATCTTAAGTATTCTCACCACACACACACATAAAATAGTAACTATGTGAGGTGATAAGATACATTAATTAGCCTGACTGTGGTAATTTCACAATGTAAATGTCTAGCAAATATATCAAATCATCACGTTGTACCCCTCAAATACATACAATTTTTTCTTGGCCAATTATACTTCAATAAAGCTGGGGACACGACTGAGTGACTGAACTGAATTGAACTGAAAGCTGGGGGAAAATTCAGGCAAGTAAGAAGGAGACAAAGATCTTACAGGCATGAAGAACATGCCATCTTTCCAGGCTACTAGTTTGTCGAGTGTGAGGGTGACCACGGCAGGTTTGAGTGGAAGGTGTGTGGCTGGTCTCCAAGACACCCCCAGTGGGCCCTCACCTCTGGGAGGCATTCTGGTCTGTCTGTGCAGCTCCATCTCACGTGGCATCAGGGATGGCCTCGTGGTCAGGAGGATCCTGTAG